CAAGGGCCCTGGGGTTTGTGAATTAAGATACCACAGGCCACATGACACAGCCAAAAAAAAAAGAAAAAAACCCAACAACTGAGGATTATAGAGATTAATTTGTCCAAGGTCACCATTGATAGTAAATGGTAAACCGGGATTTGACCCCAGGCAGTCTGACTTCAGAGAGTATGCTTTTTTTTTGCGGTAAGCGGGCCTTTCACTGTTGTGGCCTCTCCTGTTGCGGAGCACAGGCTCCGGACGCGCAGGCTCAGCGGCCATGGCTCACGGGCCCAGCCGCTCCGCGGCATGTGGGATCTTCCTGGACCGGGGCACGAACCCGTATCCCCTGCATCAGCAGGCAGACTTTCAACCACTGCGCCACCAGGGAAACCCGAGAGTATGCTTTTAATGGCCATTATATAAGGTCTGCTAGTTGTTATATTTTTCTTTTCTACAGTTAAGCAGATCCCTTTTCTCCTTCAAGTTCTTTTGGAAAGATGCTGAGTTTTTTAAAAATGTGTTTCTGTGGAAGATCTCTAGCAATTGTATGAAAAGCTATCAACAACTGCTACAGAGGGTAGCCAACAAAATTATGCTAGGACAATGACAGCCACAAATACAGTCATTTGCAAATCATAATTTTGATCACAGTCATAATTTTGAATAAAGAGAACAAAGCATAATATTATTTTTAGAGTTATTTAATTCTTCTTTCCCTTCACCTAGTGCCGATCATTCAGTGCAGTCAACAGCTGGGGGAATTAAATGCTTTCTTCTTTGGAAACTGTAATACCCTAAAATCCAATTAGCTTAAACCAATTAACATGCTGTTTTTAAAGCCAAGGCATTTCCAGGAGTTTGCTGTTAACTGTGGAGCATTTTTCAAAATCATGCAAAGAAGAAAAGAAATGCCTATATCAGAGTATATTTGTGAACTCCAGAGTTCCACCTACGTGCACATCATGTCAGTTTTTGGATCAGAAGTTCTCACAGTGTGGTCCCTGGACCAGCAGTATCACCATCACCTGGGAACTTGTTAGAAAAGACGATTCTATGGCCCACCCCACACCTACTGTCTCAGAAACCCATGGGCGTGGAGCCCTGCAAACGGTGGTTGAACATGACCTTCAGGTGATTCCAATGTATGCTAAAGCTTGAGAACTGCTATTATAGTCATTGTGCTACCAAAATAACTGCAACTCAGACTTACAGGTGTAACTGTCCTGTTTATCATTCCTCTAGTTAAATACTAAGAAATACCTGCAATTTACAAGCATTATTTATATGTTTTCCCATATTACAGTTTTGCCTGTCATGAAATTTGATGTAATTTTTTTTTTAAAGTGTTGTTCGAAAAGAAGGCTGATCTTTACTATGTGTTATAGTTTGTATTTCATTCTCAGTCCTAAATCAGCATGTCTGGGCACGCTGCTGAGTTGCTAAAAAGTCTCAGAACCTTTAGATGTATACTACTCTCAGCTTGAAAACTGCCTCTGTTTACATTCACTACCTTCTTATATTTTATAACATTTACTTTATGCTTCCTTGGGCAAAATAAATGTCTTTAAAATGTGAGGTAGATAATATTTGAATCAGTAATAACATAAAGCTTTTCTAACAATGTGGAAAATAGCACTTACCTAAATAGTAATTGTACTATCAAAATAAAATTTCATTTGCACAGTAAGATTCTATTTACACTTGCTGTTTTAGATAGAAAAGAGAATATGAACTGTAAGTCTAGAATCCTGAGAGATTTTCCTCTTCTTCCTGATATATGGTACGCTTTGCATCCTGTGATTCATAATCCACTTGGGTCGTAAAACATTGATGAAGGGAAGCCAGTGACAGTAATGGAGTCCTGTTAGATCAGGCTTCACAGGAAAGGCAGATCATATTTCACTGGTGAAAAGTGCCTCTAATAAAAGGAGGTGCCTTGGGAAAAAATATTAGTGCTTTCTCTTTCTTCTAATGTCATTCATGACATTATTATATAAACGCACAAAGTTTATTTCTTACTATGTGCCCACATTTTTTAAAATTTATTTGTTTATTTCATTCAGGAAGGAACCAGCAGAAAGACGAAAGAGTTGGTTCCAAAAGCAAAGGATTAAGGAACAGAGATGTATATAGCCAGTTGGGAAAGAAGTGCCAAAATAAGTTTACCAAGTTAGATGTAAGACTGATTAACTTTCTACACAACAGTAAAGTCCTGTCATCTTTGGGGTTAACTTCTCTACCAGGCTATAACACCCTAACAAGCTATCAATTCTAAAAGGTTATAAATCATCTGCACCTTTATATTTGTTAATCAAATATATTGTCACCCAAGAGTGTCAGATGAGGGTTGAAGTGGGCTGAATGGTGGCCCCCCAAAAGATATGTTCACATTCTAATCTCTGGAACCTGTATCAATCTCCCCCTTCCTGCCTCGATTGTCTGGGTTAGAATAAGGTAGTAGCTTCCACGGGGCCCAGAGAATAAGGGAGGATGCTTGTTCATGATGGCCACTGGGTCTGGCCCACCAGAGAGCAAGGCACTGATGCCAGGGCAGGCCCCGACCAGCCCTCATGGCCCTCCCATTTCGGACCACAGGCGCTGCTCCAGAGGTCTCAACCCTGAGCTGCTCACAGGCCTTGCTCTTTACTAGGCACCCCACCTGGGCATCCTGCAGCCACTCCCCACCCCCAGAACCAGGGCTTGCTAGCACAGAGCTCTGCCACTCCAGGCAGAGGACAAAAAAACGAGTCCCTCCCAATCTCCTATAAACCCTCCTTAGACTCCAGACTGGCCAGGAGACCTTGAGAGAAATATCTTTAATTCAGTCATTCATATATTCCCTGACAGCATATTTTCAACCAATATTTGCTGATTTTTTATGGAGCACCAACTATTTGCAGGAGATGCCAGGGATACAGCAGGGAATAAATACATCAAGCAGGAGAAAACATATATTAATGTTGAAATAAATTAACCTTTTACATTCATTAAAGCAAAATGCAGTCTAAGACTGCTATTTATGCTCAGAAATTTTCCTAATAATTACTTTATTTTTATTTTCAGCCCACACTCTTTTAGACGGCTTCTTGGCTAATACCCTCAACCATGCATGAACCTCCAAGGGACAGCTTTTCTATGCTTTGCATCTTCCTAAAATGGCCAGTTGAGCACAGCCTCCTGTGAGAGGCAGTGTATCCAGTGGTTAGGCACATGGCCCAGAAGCACCAGCCCTACCACTTAACTAGCTGTGAGACTAGGGGCAAGTTTTAATTAATTACTTAATTGCTCTCTGTGCCTCAAAGTCGTGGAGTTAATGGTAGGACCCACCTCAGGCTGCTGAAAAGACAACATGAGTTATAGTAAGTAAAGGACTTGAAGCAGCATCTGGCATTTAGCGAGCCCTGGTATTCCCACTGTATAATCATTAAAGAGGGGGTTCCTCTTGAGGACCAGGGATGGTAGAGAAAGAATGAAAAGCAGCTGCGTGGAATAGATGGTAAGTGCTGGGTGAGGGGGGCACAGTTTCACTATAGTTTTGGTTCTCAAACATGACTGCTCTTCAAAATCACCACAGGAGCTTTTCAAACTTAATTTAATTTTCAAACTTAATTTAATTCCTGGGCCCCACCTTCAGAGGTCACTTCATTGGTCTGGGGTGGGACCCAAGCCTGTTCAAGTAATTCCCATAGAAGTGGAGATTGAGCATCCCTGCAGGACAGCAATGTACCACCTGGCCGAGAAGCCACGCCTGCCCTGCAATGAAAGGGGGCGGGGGACTCCACTCCAAGCCTCTCTCCTCCCCAGTCCTAGCTGCCTTAGCAGTGCAATCCCTCCTCCCGCAGTGCATCCACAGGCATCCTTGGGACATGCATCACTTGTCAGGCCCTGGGCTTGGGATGGGGCAGTACAAAAGTTATCAGACAAAATCTTATCCACGTGGACCTCACAGCAGAGAAAGAAGATAGAGAAGAAAGCAAGCAGTTATGTGGAGAAAAATCGAAATACTCTGAGTGCTCTTAGAGCTGTAATCGAAGTACCATATATACTTACTAGGAAATCCCTGGGGAAGGACTGAGTTAGATCTGTAAGTACAAAATGTGGAGACTCTCCAAGGTACATTGTTGAGTAGAAAAAGGTAAACCACAGAACAGCATACCATTTACGTTTCAAAAAGCTTTTTGAAAGACGTTGCGATATTCTATCTATGGGTGCATAAATATATGTAACTTCAAAGAAAAAAGGTCTAGAATTACACCTCTTATTTTCCATGATTAATTTTTTTCAAAAAGAATATTCATTGTTTGTGAAATTTAAAATAATAACATTTTTTAAATTCCAGCAAACTCTTTGTGGGGGGGGTCTTCTGGAAATATTTGCATTTAACTAAGTTAAGATGTATATCACATTGCCTGTTAATTGTGACAAAGCAGTTGGCATTACCAGACTTAATTTTATCTAAGTGACTATTATTGAGCAGAGAGCAATGTCCTGAGGAAATGGGACGTGAGACAGGTGTGTGCCAGTAGAGATAAGGCAAAGGAAAGAGAATTCAGCACGAAGCTCAGCTGAGTATAAGGAGAAAGACCTAGCAGCTACCTTCCATGTCTGCAACTTTCACAGTTTCACCTGAGGCTGGTCCTCCTAACAAGCTGAAAGCTCGAACATCAGCTTCCAGGTCTAGCCTACTAATAGAGATTCTCCATCTTAGCTGCATATTAGAATCACATGGGGAGACTTACTAAAATATCAATGCCTTGAACCAAGACCAATGAAAAGTAAGGTCTTTGGGAGGTTGGGCCTGGGCGTTGTTTTTAATACGACCAGGGCTGAGACTCACTGCTCGAAGACGCATGCACACACCCTCCCAGTTTGGACACCCTCATGCTTGCAAAGTACTCCAAAAATGGCATCAGTTGCAGGTGCTTAAACTCTAGGGGACCATGGGAAAAGGAAAAATATTTGCATTTTTGTATTATGTGATTCCGAAATGATAACACCATGTGTTTGGTTTATTTCAGGCTCGACTGACCAAAGAACAGCGCTGGGGAAGTGCATTGCTTTCCAGAAACCACTCCTTAGAAGAGGAATTTGAAAGGGCAAAAGCAGCAGTGGAGGTAAGTTTCTGGTTGGTTTTTCTGTTTTATGGTTCTGAGAGTGGAATTCAAAAAAATCAAACTTCAGCAGG